CTACACTATATTTTGATGTCAATAAACTTTTGAACAGAACTGAAAAATTCGAATTTTTAAATTTTATTAAGAAAAAAACATTACAGTAGACCAAAAATAATTTTCAGATTTTTTTGACTTATTTGACAAACTGCTGAAAACCTCAAAAATCGGAATAAAAACTTGATTTTAGCTTTTTACTGCCCAATAACAAAATTATTTCAATTTGTGTTCAAAAAAACAAAATTTTTACTGTGGTCGAGACAATAATTTGAAACCAGTTTTACATTAAAAACTAAAAAATCGCCGTAATTGTTATATTTTTTAATCATGAAAAAATTAAATTAACTGAGCCAAGTTTCCGGCTTCTATTTTTGGCGCCACATTGCTGAAAACCTAAAAAATGTGCATAAAAATCCCCTAAAACCGGTAATTTAAGCTCCAACTTAGATTGCTTTGAAAGAAACTCCGGAAATAAAGTTTATTTCGTTCGAACGGCTGTAAATGCAATAAAATCGTGTTGCAGTAAAGAATATCGTCTTTGTTCGAGTAAATTTTCAGTGAGTGCATTTAGCTCCACTAAAGTTTTAATTATGAAAAAAAAAAACTCACCTCGAAAGCCAAAGTCAGTGCATTTTTCTCTTGTCGCAATTGTTCGGCTTGCTTCTTGTACACTAGCATCGAACGCACCGTCTCCTCCATTCTGAAAAAATGAAAAAAAAATCAAAGTTTCATTTCGAGTCTGTCAAAATTGGCAAGTGACACTCATGAAAAGAGTCCTTGACGTTTCAGGACAGATGCCTGAAAGCGCGCGGAGTTAATAAGAGGGGGTTTTCAGCCGATTCGACACATTACTACCAGATGGTGCCATTTGGGCCGACCCTTTGTTAAGTGACTGCTTGAGGAATTAACTCATTTACAAGGAGAGTGTTTGGATTACGGGTGTGTTGGCAGCTGGAGGACGCTTTGAAGACGGCTTCGGTTACAGGATGTTTCAGTGAGGAGTGTAAAATTTGTGACAATGGATGGTGGAGGAGGAGGAGGAGGAGGAGGAGGAGTAATCAGTATTCATTTTACTCGAGTTGCACACTTACTTTCCTCTGTGCGGTCTCTTTTGTCAACATTCGTATCAAATGTCAACGGTGACAACAGGAAATTAACAAGCACACTACTGTGTTCAAGACTCGCTTCAGTAAACGAGGAGTGGAAAGAACAAAAGAGGGATTCTGGGAGAGAGTTGGGCGAAAAGCGGAAATAAAATTGTTGCGAGATTAAGGAATTCAAATTTTGACAGAATTTTAGGGAAAAAAAACATTCTTTTTTATTGTAACTATTATTACATTATTATTACAATTTGTCTCAGAACAATGATCAAATTTTGCTTTCCAACGATAATAAAAACAAAGGGATTATTGACAACAGCTCCGAAATTTAAAAATATTTTTTTTATCTTATTAAGCAAATGCAAAACTGTACTTCAAAGATATATTTTAACTCAAACATATGTAAAATATTCCGGGAAATCACTGGAGTTGACAAAATTGCAAAATTGGTAATAGTTTTGAAGTTATAGACGTATTTATATTTTGATATTTAGTATTTTATCAGAAATTTTCTCGATAACTATTCATCGTAGAGCACTGAAATTTTTAATATATGATAGAAAATTCAATTTTCTATCCAACGGTACCAAATA